CCTTTGAGAATGTAATCCTGATGACAGAGGTGGCTAGAGGAAATGACTAGAAGGGTCAGGCTTGAAATGGAGGAAGTTCTAGCTGGAGGAGGCTTGGGGAGGGGATGCATGGCAAATGTGTCCTTTGGCCTGAGGTCGGGAGTGAAGAGCTACCGAGGTCTAGATGATTCCTACTTGGGCTTACCAGGGCAACTAAGAACCTGAGCCCTGACAGCTCCTGCTGATAGCTTTGGGGCACTGAAGCCCCTTTGCCTAGAGGAAAGTGTCCTAGCCAGTGTCCAGCCTCGATTCCTGTGAACCAGTCTCCTTTGTACTCCCATAGCTATGGCCTGGCAACACAGATCAGGAAAGTGAGGAACAGCAGCAATTCCGCAGCATTTTCAAGCAGATAGCAGGTGATGTAAGTATCTCCCACCCTAGGGCTCATGTCTCTTCCCAAATGGACTGCTCAAATGACTAGTTAGTTCACTGTATAGCGGAAGTCATTTTGGTTTCATGGAACCAGGGGATGGGTGCTGCAGCACAGAAAACTGTTAAGTCTTTGGGTTTAGGACTGACAATCACAGGATGGGTCAGAGCTGTCTGGCTATGAGCTGCTCACTGCAGTCAGGAGAGCTGAGGGTGCAGCAGCTGGTCTTCCTCAGAAAAGCCGTATCTTCACTTGATGGAACAGCACTGACAGGGACCTTACCACTGTGGACAGCTGGATTTGTTCTTCAAAGCCTCTGCTCTACAGGCTGCTCTGTCCTTGAACCATGATTCTCTCCTCCCTCAGGACATGGAGATCTGTGCAGATGAGCTCAAGAATGTCCTTAACACAGTGGTGAACAAACGTGAGCAACTCACACCAGATGCTGGGGATGGGCAGGGGGCCCGGCTGTGTGAGAGCACCTCCTCACTCTTCTCCATCCCCCCAGACAAGGACCTGAAGACACAAGGGTTCACACTGGAGTCCTGCCGGAGCATGATTGCTCTCATGGATGTATCCTTCCTGCCACTTTCCTAACCCTCTGGCATCTGTCCATAGGGGCCAGGGAAACAATTAGGGGTGTCCAGTCAAGCAAAGGGGCCCAATTTATGCCTGCGGAAATACTTAAGGAGATCCTGACTCAGACCATCCTGGATGCTGCTATGGCAGGGGTTGTCACTGAGGACTGGCTTGTGGCTGGTTTCCACCTCCAGCTCCTACCTCAGGCCTGAAATCCTACCTGGAACACTGCCCAAAAAAGGAGGGTTCCTAGAGGAAAGGCTCCATGTGCTGTAGAGCTGGCAGGAACTTGGTAGAGAGGAAGGAAGGGAGGGATAGAGCAAGAGATAGGGAGCTGGGGCAGAGGCTTCTGGTTGCACCACCTGCAGAATCCCCTAGATACTTCCTCCCAGTTCAGGGGAGCCCCCTCCCAGTTCTGGGGGATTTTGCTATGTGCCTGTAGCCCTGACATCCCTCCTCCAGACAGATGGTTCTGGAAGGCTGAATCTGCAAGAGTTCCATCACCTCTGGAAAAAGATTAAGGCTTGGCAGGTAGGATGAGTCAAAGGCAGAGTAACAGAGAGAGCTGATTCAGGGATTTCAGAGTGGGACTTCTGTCTTCAAATCTTCTATTTTCAGAAAATCTTCAAACACTACGACACAGACCATTCCGGCACCATCAATAGCTATGAGATGCGAAATGCAGTCAATGATGCAGGTGCTGGGAGGAAGGAGGTGGCAAAATACAGACGGGTGCTGGGGAAAGCAGGAGGGATGAGAGACTAGGTGACCAGGGCCCTATCAAAGGAGGGAGGTAGCTTCCTGTTCTTCCCCAGGCCAGCATAGCCACAGGGCAGGGAAAACAGAATGCCGGACTGACCATTCTACCTTCTGTTCCTCCTCACCCTGCTCCTTCTCAGGATTCCACCTCAACAGCCAGCTCTATGACATCATCACCATGCGGTATGCAGACAAGCACATGAACATAGACTTTGACAGCTTCATCTGCTGCTTTGTCAGGCTGGAGGGAATGTTCAGTAAGTTGGGGGAAGGGAGGGTTTAGCCCTCTTGAGTCCCTTTCCCCAAGGCACAGCTGTGGTAGTAGGAGCTCAGCATGACAATTGCCCAGGCTACTCCACTAAGGATGCACAAAGGCTGATGCTGTTGACACAGAAAAAGATGACAAAACATGGGCGGGGGTGGATACTCTGGTTATTTGAACTGAAGGACAACATTAATACTTAAGACAAGTTACAGAGTCAAGCATGGTGCTGCACACCTGTAATCCCAACACTTAAGTAGCGAAGGCAGGTTTGTGAATTCAAGGCTAGCCTGGGCTATATAGTGAGACCTTGTTTTAAAAACAAACAAGAACTGGCAAGATGGCTTAGCTTGCTGTGTAAGCCTGGTGACCCGAGCTTGCTCACCAAAACCCATGTAGAGGTAGAAGGAACCAGTTCTATAGTCGTTCTCTTGACTTCCACGTGTGTCATGATGTGTGCCCCCCCGCCCCCGCACACAGTTAAAAACCAAAAACCCCACCCCTAAAAAACCACAACCAAACCAAACCTAGGGGAAACAAAGGAGCAAGTAACAGAATGAAGCGGGAGGGAGTCTGTAACTGGCCTTTTGGCCCATGTGTTCCTTCACACAGGAGCTTTTAATGCATTTGACAAGGATGGAGATGGTATCATCAAACTCAACGTTCTAGAAGTAAGCATAATAGACATAGCACATTCCTCTTGTACTGTATAATCCAAAGTGAAGTCACTGAGGCAGACTGGACCCACTGTGTACTTCTCATTTCTAGATGGTGGTGGAGGGATGGGACAGGAAAGGAATGTTGAAAGCAAGCCTAGTGGGGAAGTTACTTTGTGCTGGAGAACACATTTTCCTAGGAAAATTCCAGGGAAAAGGATGCAGTCAACAGGCTTCTCCTTAAAATATTCCCGCTATTCCCTTTCCAACAAGATCCCTAGGGTTGATGGGCCTCTCTTTTCTAGTCTTTGTACCGATCTTGAGACTTCCTTTCAGTGGTTGCAACTTACCATGTATGCCTGAACCAGACTAGCCTCACGCAGGATCACTCAAGATTTCAACTTCACCCAACATAGAACCCAGCAGCTACACCTCCAAGCCTCAGGAGACTCCTTGGTCTTGTTCTTCCTCCACTTTGTCCCATAATGTCTTGATGCCTAGCCTGATGCTTGGGAGAACAACTTTCCCTTTGCCACATGTAGGCAAATGTCTGCCTGAGCTAGGGGCAGCCTAGCTGGGAGGTCTGCTGGTTCTGAGCTGCCTCAGCTGTGAAGCACATGCTCCCCGCTTAGCTTGCATTGGGCTTGTTGGCAGCACTTGCCAATGGCCCTGGCTTGTGCTGGAGCCTTCACATCTTTGTATTCAGTTCTACACTTTTCAGGATGGGTCTGCTCTGTGGTAAGCAAAGCACAACAGGGCTGGATATTTTGGGTTGTCTGACTCAAATATGGCTGCATTCTGAAAAAAATTATCTAAATAAAGGCATGTGTATGGCTGGTTCCACTGGTGGTTTTCTATTTTTCAGCCACAGCAGGACTGAATGCCTTCCAATCATACACTCATCTAGCACCCATAGAAAGCCTCAGTTTGGGACTGGGAGATGGCTAGGTTGGTGAAACACTTGCTGAACAAGTACGAGGATCTCAGTTTGGATCCTCAGCATCCACATAAAAGCCAGGAGTGGTATGACATGTCTATAACTCTAGTATTGGGGAGCAGAGACCAGGGCTTGCTGATCAGTCAGTCTAGTCAAAGGGGCAAGCTCCAGGTTCAGTGAAACTGTCTCAATAAGTTGGAGAGGCCAGGAGATGGCTCAGTAGGTAAAAGTGCTTCTTGTTCAAGTAGTGGATCTGAGTTTGGGTCCCCAGCACCCACATAAATATAAATACTGTTAGGCACAATGGTCCACCTGTAATTCCATCCCAAGTGAGGCGGAGAAAGGGGATCCCTGGAACAAACTGGCTAGACTAGCCAAACTGGTGAGCTCTGGGTTCAAGTGAGAGACCCTGCCTCAATATATAAGGTGGAGTGTGATCAAGGAAGACAGCTAATGTCAACCTCTGACCTCTCTAAGCACACATATACCCACACCCACAGAGCCCTAGTTTTAGTCTATGGATCTGCTCAATCCTGTCAGGACTCAAAAGATATACAGGGTTGGGCCTGGTTAGTACATGGATAGAAGACCTCATTTCAGAATAGAACAATGGAAAATACAAAAACAAAACCTAAAGCCCCACTTAAATCACAGGAATTACTCAAGATATTTTCCAAGCTATATAAGGGAGGGAAACAGTTATTGGTGTATAGAGTATGTATGAGTAGAGGAAAAAAGGATAATGGGTGGGGGAGGAAGGTTATGATCAAAATACTTTTTTTTTTTTTTTTTTTTTTTTTTTTTGTCTTTTTGAGACAGGGTCTCCCTGTAGTCCCAGCTGACCTGAACTCACTATGTAGACCAGGCTGGCCTTGAACTCACAACGATCTGCCTGCCTCTGCTTCCTGAGTGCTGGGATTAAAGGCGTGCACCACCACACCTGACTCAAAAAGTACAATATATATATGCTTATGCCATTGTGAAAGAATAAAATTTAAGCTGGACATGGTGACACATGCCTTTAATCCCAGCACTTGGGAGGCAGAGGTAGGTGGATCTCTGTAAGATTGAGGCCAGCCTGGTTTACATAGTGAGTTCCAGAGAGACCCTGTCTCCCATTCTCAAAAAAAGAGAAGAAGAAATACATTTAAAATAACAAAATAACAAAGTAAATGGGGATCAGAAGGGGGCCAGTTACTGGAGGGCAATGTGAAAAAGATGTAGTTTTTCACCCTAGCTCCTCTGCTCTGCTCACTGGCCTGTCTATGACACTGAACAAACCCTTGACTGCAGCTCTGTGTTAACATCTATAAGCACATTGTGTTTTCTACTCTATTTTCTAAGTCAACATGGAAAAGGCTGACTATGAATATGCAGGCAAAATAACAAAAGTAAACAGTCAATTAGTAAAAGTACTTTATTTTCCTCTTGTATTTGCTTTACATGTCACTTTACAAAGTTAGGAAGTTCACAGCTTTATACCAAAATGTAAGAAGGCTATTTGTTTAGAAACATTTTTGCAGTCAAATGTTACCAATATTTTAAAAACTCAGAAAGCAACAGTGCTGGAGCGGCTCTGGGGCACCTACTTCCTAACGCCTTTCCTCCTGGACCCTCTACCCATTCATTTGTACTACCTTGAATTTTGAGCAAATCTGGGAAACTTCAGTCACCATGTGACCCAGCAGGGCCAGTTACTTGGGGTTGGAGGTGAAAATGGTTAAGTATTTGGTTTGTTTGCATGAAGATTCAACATCCATCTGCATGTGGGACTGAGAGTAACCCCGAGTACCCACTCCACAGCTTGCTTCTCACTAGCCACTGGGCCACTTCTCTCAAACCTCAAGGGTCCTAAGTGACAGGCAGGGATGAAAACATCATTCCAGAAGTGTGTCAGGCACAGTCTTTATAATAATTCTAGGAACTGTTCTCTAAGTAGCAGAAACAAATTTGCCAAGTAAGCATATGTGAACTGCAATCTTTTAAACAAACCAGGATGTATGCACTGTTCAAATTCCACTTCACAATGTACTTCAATTTCCTCTCCAATAAATTCTTCCAGAAAATATATCATGCCAATCCTCTACGTGCACACCTACACCCACCAAGCCAGCCACATGCCTAGTCAATGAAGTTGTCCACTAAATAATCTCCCAGAAAAACAACAAAACCTTTGTTAAGACAACAATCTTAAACAGTAATTGCCTTCAATTACATCCACTAAATAATCTCCCAGAAAAACAACAACAAAACCTTTGTTAAGACAGCAGTCTTAAACAGTAATTGCCTTGAATTACATGTAGTTCATGAACTCAAACACTCAACTGCTAACTTCTGAGAAACTTTCCATACAGAGGCAGGAGTGCAATGGTAAATAATGACTTTCCAAACTTAAGTAATGTCAGCACAAGAAAATTCTTTGCTCCTTTATTTGCATGGTGTACAGTGAACAAATGAGTATACCAAAAACATGTTCGAACCAATTAAAAACTTTCAAAAAACGGAAAGTGGCCGGTAGTTTATCAGGACTGCCATTGAAAACACTCATTCAAATATACAAAAGGATTTATTTTTATAAGGTTTTCTTGGCTTTCAGCCTTAGATGAACATAAACAAAAATACCATTAAAAAAATGACCTTCAACTACTTGTAAGAGATGTGTTAGGTTTTGGCAGGTTATTGGACAGTTTCCGTCTTTCATCAAACTACTAAACAACAGTCAGCACAGGCCTGAGCTGCCCTTCTGTGAGGGGAAACAGAGGCTGGATCATCTGTATGAATGTCTTAAAAAGTAGCTTGTTTTCATGTAACTTTCAAGACACTTACAGGTAGTAACTGTAAGGATTACTTCTCAACACAGGGCTACACCACTTCACACTAGAGAACACATTAACCTGATATTGAAAAGAAGTTCACGTTTTTTAAAAGAGCTCATTACTGTTACTGCTTCAAAGAAAACTATGAAATGAGGAAAAACATGACAAGTGTGGGTGCCCACACACATACACGCAAACAAAGGAACTTTCACACACGCAGAGGCAGACACATGCACACCATGCTACCAAGTTAAACCCAATCACAGTTCTTGCTGATCCTATCCTCACTACTGTTCAACACCTTATGCTCTCCTTCCCTGCTGTGCAAAGGCCCTGCTACTCTCATCACTTTAGACATTCCTCTGGGTGGACAGGACACCTGTGTAGCACAGTACTGGAACACACTGCCCTGCCAATGTGGAAATGCAGTGACACTCCAGCTCAGAGGACAATGCCAGGTTTCACAATAAACCCAAATGAACTTTCCTATGAAAAAACTTCCCAGACTCACTGAAAAGTGTGGCTTCTCTGGTCACCCTTAGGGGAAATGGAAGTGAGAAGTAGAGAAAGTATCTTAATCTCACACAGAAGCGTGAATACACTTTATCTGTAAGCTCTTCTCAGTTTTCTTCACCATCACACAGTGTTGCTGTCTTCACACCTAAGTCATGTGGCTAACACAAGAGTTTTCCCATATAATATAAAACAAGAAAATCACTGTGAGGCCATGTTATCTAGTATGGGCTCCTTGTTTAGTTCTTAATATGAATCCAGTAAGAACCACTGGAGCAGCTCCTAGAAAAAATGACAGTCTTCTATACTATTTTTAGAGGGCTTATAGACCCTTTTCAGCCTATCTACCAATCTCTTGTGAAGTCAGCCTGCCCTAAAGCCTGAGGGGAGGCTCAAACATAGATCAAAGACAAACCTGGAGACTGTAGTCACAGTAACTAAGCATCACATCCTGAAGCTAGGTTGTGTGACATGAGGCTCCTGTTCCTTCTCTTTCTGAAGAATCAAAGTTTAGAGAATCCAGAAACAAGAGATTAGAGAGTAACACTTGTTTAGTTTTACTGACCAATCTAAAGAAAATCAAAGAACAAAGAAATGTCACTAAGACTTGGTGACATGGATGTTCTCCATGGTAGTCTTTTCCTTCACTGTACTCCAGTCCTTTCCCCGCTGGCAGGAAAGTGAAGGCAGACATGGCTTCAGAAGGTAAGTATCTAGGAAGCCTGCCTGAGGCCCTAACTGAATCCAGAGGCTTCTTCCAACTACACTACCTGGGGTCCTGAGGGTGGACACCAAGCACCCTGTGAGCCTTGCGTGCCATCCTTCCAGGCACAGTTAGATGGTGAGAGAGATGTGGGCCGGCAGTGGAGCAAGGCAAAAGGTTTCCAAGTCACATGGGACTTGGAGAGTCAAAAGCTGGGAAGGAAGATAAAAGTACATCTCAGTTCAAACAGCTGCCATCCATCACCTGCAACAGGGAGCGCCCAGGCCTAACAGCAAAACTGAGGGCAGACATCCCACTGAGCACTGCAGTGAAACCTGCATAGAAGTCCACTGGGAAATGCTGTCTCTAGGGACTTAGCATTATGGGTCTCATCTGAATTCTAAATACAGCAGGCAGAGCAGCCACTCTAGCTAATTTCAAAACTCTACCATGTGTCTGTCCTTAAGCACTTAAAGCCAGCTTTGTCCATCTACAAAACAGAATCGTGAAACAGTACACATAAGTATTAAGGAAGAAAACTATTTGTTTTCCACTTAATTTTAAATACCCAGTTATTACAAAAAGGGAAAGAAAAACTGATCCTGAAAATCTAGCATAAACCATCACAAGAACATAAAGCAGAAACCACAAATGGAATCAATAAAATATACGTATGATTAGGGCCAAACTGGGTAACTAATTAACATCTGGATCTTTAATCAACACCTATGGTGTGAGCAGCATCAATCACTGTATGTCATTCTGTCCCAGAGGAGTAGGGCTCCTTAAAATGTTTAACCTTCACTGTTTCTATGCTCCAGCACAAACTTGAATCGCAACCTATCATTTCCTAGAGCTGCCCAGACTTTGCTAGTGATAGGACTGGCTGGGAACCACTTTCTCCTTCCCAGCTTCCCTACGGAAGGAGGGTGGCCCATGTGAGAGGCCAATATGAAAATAGTTCACTAATGACTTCCCAGCATGGGAGGCAAAAAACTTCATGAATCAATTTTGCTGTCATCTTCGGCATGCCGTTCAATGTGTCCTGCTGCATCCTAGGGAAAAGAAAGAAGGCCCATGAGAGACAAACTGGTACTAGGACAGGAGAAAGTCAAAGCCAAGGAGGGCCATACCAGCTTCACACATGAGGGCATGGAAGCTCTAGCATTTTGTTAACAGGAAACTATACAGTTAAAGATAAGGTCTCATCTTAGCACAACAGCACAAATCTAAAAAATTTGCATAAGACCTTTATTAGAAACTACCCAGTTCTTTTCTGAAAACCTTGTTTAATTATCCCCCTGCCCCGAGTCCCTGAGTAATGAAAAGAAAAATCCTACTTATTTATTGCTATTCTGAACACTAATGAAGCAAAGTAGGTTTGCTGGTCTTTGCTCTTAGCAGTCTGCTGACCCAAGTTAAACCTTCAATCCCACAGAAATACCTGCTTGGATCCTTTCCTAGCAGTGAAAAAAGCATCACAGTTCTTCCAGCGACATTTCAGTGTCTGAAAGTTTGGATTGGTGTGGTCAGTCAGCAAGTGTTGTTTTAAGTGATCTACAACACCAAATATCAGAGAGCAGCCATGCCACTGTAAGAAAGAGAATGAGGGGGCTACGTGAAGAAGAGTGCAGTAAAATGCTGCCCCCTAAAAGCAAGAAACAGAATGAGTTAACTTGGGCTGAGGAAGAAAAAAGGAAGTCCCTTACCCCTTATGTACTGCTGGTGGGATGCAAACAAATCCAGCTACTATGGAAGTCAGCATGGAGGTTCCCCAAAAAACTAACAACAGGTCTTTATATGACCCAGATACACCACATGCATACTCATGTTTACAGAAGCACTATTTGCAACAGCCAAGTTATGGAAACAATCTAGATACCCAACAACAGAGGATGGATAAGGAACATATGTTTATTTACAGGGTTTTCATTCAGCCATAAAGTCATGTCATTTGCAGGAAAATAAATACAATTGTAGATAATTTAAGTAAATTAAGCCAATCTCAGAAAGAAAAATATTGTTTTCTCTCACATTTCTTATATTTTATATAAAATCATGTGTGTATATATGATATGAAAGTAGAAGTAAACTGTCTAGAGGGGAACAGGGGACTGAACAAAGGGGAGGGGATGAGTAAGAAAAGGGAGGACAAAGGGCACGAAGAGAAGTGCACTCAATATACAATATATACATAAATAAATAAAGTCCCTGAGCCAGGAATGGTGGTTCATGCTTGTAATCCCAGCACTTGGGAGGGGGAGGCAAGAGGACTGCCCTGAGTTCAACACCAACTGGAACTATAGGAGACCCTATCTTTAAAAAAAGGACTGGCAAGATGGCTCAGTGGTTGAGAGCACTGGCTGCTCTTGCAGAAGACCTGGGTTCAACTCCCGGCACCCATGTGGCAGCTAACAACCATCCTTGGCTCCAGTTCTGGGGATCTGACACCCTCTTCTGGCACTGTATGACAAGGGTGCAGGTAAAACACTCATACAAATGAAATAAAAAAATTTAAAGGTCCCTTAGTCTTTATGATTAGTTACAAAATGTAATAGTCAAAGGCAATTAAATTAATCATAACAAGGAAATGACTAGAAGGTCTTCTGACACCTGGACATTTTGTTACATTTATTCATTCATTCACTGATGGGAGGGGAAAGGATGTGTGCATGTGTGTGGAGGTCAAATGACAACTTGCAGAAGTCAGTTCTGTCCTTCTAGCACATAGGTCCCAGGGACAGAACTCAGGACATCAGGCTTGGCAGCAAGTACCTTTGCCCTCTGAGCCAACTCGTTGGCCTCATTTTGGCATTTTGAAAAGGCAAAGCATTACAGTAGCTATTTTGTCTGATAAATATTTATAGATGAATTAACCCTAAATTTACTTTAAACCATGTTCTTGCCATGATAAAAATGTTCATTAATTTGTTACAAAAGGCAAACAATTTTCCTATACACTGAAAATGATATATTTAACAATTCTAAGAACTGTTGACTTATAAATTTGAAAACAAAAATGCCTAACAAACTACAAAAGTATAGAAGCTAGGATTGATAGTGCACACCTGTAATTCCAGCATTTGGGAGGGAGAGGCAGGACACATCAGGAGTTCAAGACTGGCTTTGGCTACATGGTTGGAAGGTAGCCAGGGCTATGTGAGACTGTCTCAAAACAGCTATTTGTCATGGAAGCCTGACTTTTAAAACTTTTATCACCTGAATCACAATCTTTCACTTACCCACTTAAAAGCACAAAGACTCTCTGTTCTGGCTTTTCCCTATTGTCTTGTTAGTAACAAGTTTTATGATTTCAATTCTAGAATGCTCTTTTAAAAGATTTTTTTTAGCATATATTAACCATACATAATAATGGTTTACTATGCTATTTCCATATATGTATAGAATATATTTTGATCACATTCACTCCAATTACCCATTATTGCCCCCCACTACCCATCTTGCCCTCCCTCTCCTGTTGATCCCCCCACTACCCATCTTGTCCTCCCTCTCCTGTTGATCCCCCCACTACCCATCTTGTCCTCCCTCTCCTGTTGATCCCCCCACTACCCACTCTTATCTTCCCACTACCCATTCT